TTCTAGCACGTCAGCTTTGTGACCCTAGTTGGGGTTGTTCTAGCACGTCAGCTTTGTGACCCTAGTTGGGGTTGTTCTAGCACGTCAGCTTTGCGACCATAGTTGGGATTGCACTAGCACGTCAGCTTTGTGACCCTAGTTAGGGTCGTTCTAGCGCGCCAGTTTTGTGAACTCGGCTCTCCTTGGAGCATCGCCGCGCGCGCCTCTCAGGTGCTGCCCGCTCTAGCCGGCCAAGCTCAGTGTCCGAGCAACCACAGAGAGGAACGCGAGAGAGAGGGAGAGTGGGGGTGCACCCGGAAGCCGTCACAGCTCTTCCTTTTTTCGGAAAACGGTTCAAGGCGAGGAAGCGCGACGCATGCGCGGTACGAGCGCCCTGACCTTCAGCAGCGGCTGCAGCAGCCGGCGGGCAATCGGACGGAGCTGAGGGAAAGAACCGAATCGGCGGCGGTGCTGCTGCTGCTCTTCTTGCCGGTGCCCAGGACCAGGCCCAGCCGCGCGGGTACTTCGGGGGAAGAGGAGCGGCGGTGGAGGGGAAAGGGGAGCAGGAAGCTTTCTGCACATGCTCAGAGGCACTCTCGCCTCCCTAAAGTCTTAATGGGGGAAGTCAGCTGGCCAAGGATTGACAGCTGCCTGAGGCTTCCCTGAGATTTCTGAAAGCCCATCATCCCTGGCCTATGCCCTTGGGGACAGTGGCTGATGGGTGCTGGAGTCCAGCAGCATGGGAATCTGTGACCCCCAACCATAAGAGGCTCAGAAATTAGGTTTGGGGTCGGGGGGGGAGATGATTATTTTTTGCATTCTGATATCATCTTTGGGGGGGGGGGTTAATTTTTTTTAAAAAAATATTTTAATAAAATTAAAATAATCCTCCATTAAACAATGTGTCACCTGGGTACAAATATTTTGTGCGGTAACAGTTGGAGATTTACAATCCTATTCATTCATTTAATCTATTCCAAGCTCAATACCCAGATCTTAAATATAGAAATACGGTGACAATCCTCTCCTTGATTTATTTTAACTCTATTCAACTCTATTGTTACATTTTTTTTCCTATATTTTACTCATCTGCTTTTTGATCTTACCTGATCCGGTTGTCTCAGCCATTGATTTTTCACAGTTTTAATTCTAACCTAAATTCTAACTTTTAAATTAATCTAGCCTACCTAATGTGGATCTCACTCTGTATGTAAGAGGTCCCTAAGTCTCCACCCTCCAGGCCTTCCGCAAAGCCCTTAAAACCTGGCTGTTCCGACAGGCCTGGGGCTAAAGAGTTTTTGCCCCCCNTCTATCTATCTATCTATCTATCTATCTATCTATCTATCTATCTATCTATCTATCATCTATCTATCTATCTATCGCTCTGTGTGTGTTCGGGAATGCCTCCAACAATTGTTGGAAATGTAACCAGACCCCAGACACATATTACCACATGTGCAAAAGAAGAAAAAAAATAATTGGACAAAAATACACACATGGTTAGAAAAAAATGTTAAAGCAGCGTATAGATTATAAGCCAGAAATATTTTTGTTAGGCATAGTACCAGAAAAATCAAGGGAATATATATTGAATATTGCGTGTTTTGACTGCAGCAAGAATTGCATTTGCACAGCACTGGAAAAATGAGGAAACACCTACAGAAGAAAACGTAATAAAAAAAAAATAGTAGACTCTGCAGAAATGGACAGATTGACGTTAAAAACAAAAAAAAAAGAAGATACAGAATATTTTCAAACATGGGATTTGTTCTACGAATGGTTGGACAATAGAGGTAGAAATTAGGAACGGCAAAATTATTACAAGCAAATTGATCCAGACAATGCGCTGTTCAAAAAGAAGCTATGTATGTAAAGAGAAAATGTATAAATAAACCGAGGAAGCTTTCAGATTCGGGATTCCATAGTTGTGCCAACATGTCTATCTTATTAAATTGGAACTTTAAGGATAGCTCTGCCTTGGACTCTGATTTAATTCTGCATGGTATTTGGAACGCTGACAGCAGCATGGTTCAAAATAATTTTATTTTCTTTCCCCTTTCAGGTCTGTCATTTCCTACAAGACGGACGAGAAACCAATCTATTCTCTTGAGACAGTTTCCGGGGCTGGTAAGTCCAGGAGTTGAAAATGACTAGTGAGTAGCCACCTCCAGCCCTTCCCTCCCTCCCTCCCTCTTTTAAACAGGGCATGAGTCAACTTTCAGAGTTGAGACTTCACAAAAAGACTATAAACTAAAGTACGAAGCAGTTGTGATGATCCTCACCTTCTCCCTTTCATTGCACACCTGTCAGGTTTCCAAAAGATGCCCTAATTAATTCATGAGCCTCGAGCCAAGTTTCAAAAGAAATCCAGTCATTTATTAGGTGTCTTGTCCTCAGCCCACAAATGAAATAATCTACAGTTGTTACATGAGCAAGCGTAAAAATAGGGTTTCCCCTTACACCAACACTTCCCTACTACAATTTTTGTTGTGCTGTTAGTTGCGAAGTCGTGTCTGACCCTTAGCGACCTCATGAACAACGTTCCTCCAGGCCTTCCGGTCCTCTACCATCCCCTGGAGTCCATTTAAGCTCAGGCCGACTGCTTCGGTGACTCCACCCAGCCACCTTTATTCTGTCGTCCCTTTCTTCTTTTGCCCTCCATCTTTCCCAGCATGAGGCTCTTCTCCAGGGAGTCCTTCCTTCTCATTAGGTGGCCAAAGTAGTTGNTGCACCTTTGGCATTGAGTCATGCCGGCCACATGACCACGAAGACATCTTCGGACAGCGCTGGCTCTTCGGCTTTGAAACGGAGATGAGCACCGCCCCCTAGAGTCAGGAACGACTAGTACATTATGTGCGAGGGGAACCTTTACCTAAGCATCGTTTAGAAAGCTGCATCTATTACATCTGTTCTGCATTTTTGTTACTTTAGCAACTAAAGGAGGCACATTCGCTGTATGAAATATGCAAAGATGTGTTTCTTTTTCTTTTTTTCAGGATCCAAGTTAGGAACATGGCGACTCTGAAAGACAGTAAGCATTCAATGTTCTATTTTTGTTTGAGACAGTCTGAAATCCTGACCGCATCTTCTTTTTAAAGTTCCATTTAAGAATCTCCCGTGTTTTCCCTGGAAATACGACCTACTCAGAAAGGAAGTCCCGGCTTGATTTTTACACCTGCACCCAATATAAGCCCCGCCTCTCCAAAATAAGCCCTAATTAAGACCTCCCACCCACCCCACTGTGCACAGGTAAACATTAAGCTAGGGTAGGGATGGCTGGTGGTGGAGGAGCTGCCCTATTACTTATTTTTAGATAGTTGCAGCTGGGCCTGGCACATCTCTGTCCGTTTCTTCTGCTGCAGCTGGCAAGGCTTTCCGGAAGGCATCTGCAGCCGATAACGGAGCTCCAGAACTGGGGGTGACATGCACAAGTGAGGCAAATCGGGGTGGGGGGGACATCCTCCCCAAAAATAAGACCTGGTGCCTTTTTTTTGGGTGCCAAAATAAAATAAAAAGGGATTTTTGGGGAAACACGATAGTACTTTAGGATGTGATGGCTTCATTGATTAGTCTTTAGCTGTGATGGGGAACCTTTACGAGACCGAGGGCCCAAACTGTAACCCCAAACCCACCTATTTCTCACAAAGTGCCAACACGGCAATTTAACCTGAATAATGAAGTTTTACTGGCTAAAATAGTGATAAGCAAAGCAGAGTTCAGCTGAGAAAAATGTGATAAATGCCCTTTTATGTCCTTCATTTTTTTCTGCTTTTGAAATATGTTTAGCAACAATAAAAAAGAAAAACTTTTGTAATATCATTTCTCTCCCCCCTCTTTTCTTTCTCTGTCTTCTTGCCTCCCTCTCTCTTCCCCTTCCTCTCTCTCTTTCCCTCTCCCTCTCTCTCTTTCGCTCCCCCCACTCTTTCCCTCCCTCCCTTTCTCTCTCTCTTCCCCTTCCTCTCTTTTCCTCTACCTCCCTCTCTCTATTTCCCTCCCCTTCTTTCTCTCTCTCCTTCCCTCCCTTTCTTTCCCTCCCTCCCTCTCTTTCCCTCCCTTCCTCTGTCCCTCCCCCCTCTCTCTCCCTCCCTCTCTTTCCCTCCCTCTCTCTTTCCTCTCGCTTTCTCTTTCCCTCCCTCTCTCCTCTCTTTCTATCTCCTCTCTCTTCCCCTCCCTCTTTCTCTCTTTCCCTCCCTCTTCCTCTCTTTCCCTCTCTCTTTCCCTACCTCTCTCCTTCCCTGTCTCTTTCTCTCTCTCTTCCCCATCCTCTCTTTCCCTCCCTCTTTCTTTCTCTCTCCCTTCCTCTCTCTTTCTCTCTCTTCCCCTTCCTCTCTCTCTTTCCCTCCCTTTCTCTTTCCCTCTCACCTTCCTTCCCTCCCTTTCTTTCCCTCCCTCCCTCTCTTTCCATCCCTCTCTCTTTTTCGCTCTCTCTTCCCCCCCTCTTTCCCTACCTCTCCCTTTTCCCTCACTCCATCTTTCTCTTTTCCTCCCTCCCTCTCCCCCCCTCTCTCTCTTTCTGTCTCTCCCTCCCTCTTCCTCTCTTTCTCTCTCTTCCCCTACCTCTCTCTCTTTCCCTCCCTGTCTCTTTCTCCCTCTCTTCCCCTTCCTCCCTTTCCCTCCCTTTCTTTCTCTCTCTTTCCCTTCCTCTCTCTCTTTCTCTCTTTCCCTCCATTTTTCTTTCTCTTTCCCTCCCTCTCTCTTTCTCTCTTCCTCTCTCTCTTCCCCTTCCTGTCTCTTTTCCCCTCTGTGGGAGAAACGCGATGGAGCTGGGCTGGGGCGATGGCAACTGTGCCCAGAGAAAGAGGGCTCTGAGTGCCACCTCTGGCACGCATGGCATAGGTTTGCCACCACTGGCCTATAGGCCATATCAAAGCACAAAGTTGAAACACACATCGTCAAAAAAAAAAAAATTATACAAACAATTTAAAATATGAGTCGGGTAAAATAGAATAGTTACAGGATAAGAGACAATGCCATTATTTTATGTGGATTCTACTGTTTGTTTCCATTCGGCCGTTTTCTTTATCTGCTTAAAATCCTACCTCACTTCGTCTCCTCTCACCCATCCAGTCACCCGGCGCTTGAAGTCTATCAAGAACATCCAGAAAATCACGAAGTCCATGAAAATGGTGGCCGCCGCTAAGTATTCCAGGGCGGAGAGAGAATTAAAGCCCGCCAGAGTTTACGGCGTGGGGGCATTGGGTAAGGGCCTTTCCCCTTTGTGGCTGGATGGCGTTTATTCTTTCTGAAATGATTCCCTGACGCTTTGCTGACCTCGAACTTCTGAACGAGCTGTTTCCAGCCACCTTGTAACAAGCAGGCCTCACCTTAACAACCATCATTGAGCCCAAAAGACAGTTGTGACGTGAATTTTGTCCCATTTTATTTTACCTTTACCATCGTTCTTGACCCAGTTGTTAAGTGAATCATGGCAGCTGATCGTTTTAGGAACCTGTTGTTAAGTGAATCTGGCTTCCCCATTAACTTTGCCTGTGAAGGTCCGTCACAAATACGAGCCCGTTGCCAAATGCCTGACATTTAATTAGATGCCCTCATTAAATCATGAGCCTCAAGCCAAGCTTCAAAAGAAATCCAGTTATTTATCAGGAGCTTCATGCCGGCACGGACCAGGTGGAGCCAATTCGGACCTTAGTGTTCTGACCGAGGCTTCCCAAGAGCCAGAAGCAAATTCCTTGTCCCGACAAAAACCCCTTTTATTAATTTCCTGTGAATTCTGCTCATTCACGTCCAGCAAAGTCTTTCGAGGGAGGATTTACGGTCACAGACCTTATCTGGCTTGGAGAGCTGCCAGGCCGATATCTGCAGAACAGAGAGGGATGCAGTGTTTATGCATTGTTATATGATTGGCCCAAAGTCACTCAGCTGGCTTTCCTGGTGAAGGCGAGACTAGAACTCCCCGTCTCCCGGTGATTGGCCCAAAGTCATTCTGGATGCTTTCGTGGTTTTGATATCTGGGCCTTTCAATGGTTGCTCATAGTTAATGATCCATTTTTTCTTTTTTCTTTTTTTGAAGCTCTCTACGAGAAAGTAGACATCAAACCCCCCGAGGACAAGAAAAAGCACCTCCTGGTTGGCGTGTCTTCTGACCGTGGCCTGTGTGGGGCCATTCACACCTCCGTGGCTAAAGAGATCAAGCATCAGTTCTCCAACCTCACGGGCGCAGGGAAAGAAGTTATGGTGGTTGGGATTGGCGACAAGCTGAGAACCATCCTACAGAGGTAACCTCTTCCTCTGGGCCTCCTCAATTTGAACGGCAGGTTCCTCAGCCCTGGTGGCGCCGTGGTTAGGATGCAGGGCTGCAGGCTAACTCTGCCCATTGCCAGGAGTTCGATCCTCACCAGGCTCAAGGTTGACTCGGCCTTCCATCCTTCAGAGCTCGATAAAACGAGGACCCCAATTGTTGGGGGCAACGTGCTACCTCGGTAAACCGCTTAAGAGAAGGCTGTAAAAGCATTGTGAAGCAGTATATGTCTTAAGTGCTATTGTGATGATAGGTAGGTAGGTACCATAGGTAAGTTGGTAGGTGATAGAGTAGGTAGGCAGACAGGCAGATGATTGAGAGATAGATAGGTAGGTAGGAGGTGGCAAGGTGGCGCAGTGGTTAAATGCAGCACTGCAGGCTACTTCAGCTGACTGCAGTTCTGCAGTTCGGCTGTTCAAATCCCACCGGCTCAGGGTTGNATCTATCTATCTATCTATCTATCTATCTATCTATCTATCTATCTATCTATCTATCTATCTATCCATCCTACCATCCATCCATCCATCGGGAGAGATCTGTCTTATTGAATTCCATCATCCCAACCGTTATGATGGGACCAGGCAGCTAAATTTAACTATTTCATTAACAAAATCCTCTACAAGAGTTGTAAAGGCTGAGGCCAAGAGAGCAAAGGGGAAAGGGGGGGGGGCAAGTAGAAAGGAAAGTAGAAGCCATTCACAAATAGACAGAATTGGGAGAAACATTCAATTAAGTATGAATGGCATTCAAGCCTCTCTTTAATTCGTTGTTTCTGTTTATAGATAAGAGAGAAAATCCTTCCAGCAAGGAGTTCCTTTCTCAAGGGAGAAGATTATTTGTCTGCCGTTCTGTGAAGAATTCTCAGGCAGAGAATCCTCGTCTGTTTGAAATTTGTATTGCAATAAAGTCCTACATGAAAGTTTCCTCGGTTATATGACTGCCAGCAAATCTTGACGTGGATGGTGCTCCTGCCTAGCAGGATGCTAAAGCGAATGGTTGTAAGTTGAAAACTATCTGTACTCAAACTTGTACAGATTTTAAATGGCCTGTTCAAATATACCGTATTTTTCAGAGTATAAGACGCTCCGAAATATAAGACGCACCTAGCTTTTAGGGAGGAAAACAAGGGAAAAAATCTGCTTCTGCCTCTCAGCAATTTGCCTCCTTGTAGCAAACAGCAAACAGTACAGGCGATGTACACTTTGTAGTGTTACATTTCAGACTATAATTGCACAGATGCTGTTAAAATTGATGTGCTTTCTGGAAGTATAGTTATTCTCTGCTATTGAAAAGAATAGCACTTTTTAAAACAATAGCACGGGGCCTCTTCAGATCAAGCATTTATTTTAAAAAGCTTCTTCCCTTTTGTTAAGGTGTCTAGAATAGTAATAAAGCAGNGCTAATAGAAAGTGTGGCAGGCCAAAGATCCAAAAGGAATATGGCTGCAGGCCTGTGACAATCCCATCGGATAGCCATGTCAGCAGCTGCGGCCACCCCATCTTCTGCCGTTTCCCGCAAAGCTCAGATGCTGCCGAATGTTTTTAACCGAGCCGTTCATAGAAAGCGGAAGCGGATACTTAATACTGCCACAATACCGTTCAATTGCGGTGGAGAGGGGGAGGGAAAGGAATTTAACGCGGCATAGAACGGAAAACGATTGCCTGTTTAATCCGCCCCCTTAATTGGCGGCTCTTATTAGCTTGTTTGATAATCTAATTTAAAACGGGCATGGCCCGTTTTAACGCATATTAATCCCACCTTGCACTGATTTCTCTGCCTTAATCTGCATCTGCTTGATGCTTCACTGCATGTTTTGTGTGTTTTCTTTTAAACAACTTCACAATCAGGAACTAAGGGCTAATCCGAAAGTTGAATGTCGTCCAGAATCGACAGGTAAAACGATGTCATAAATTACATGCTAAGCAAAAAATAATAATTAGACTGTTGGGAATATCTTTTAATAGGGGTGGGAAATTTGGTTCGCTTGACATGCTCGCTTGCAAGATGATTGATGCTGCCACAAATCCCGGCTGCCAGCATTTTTGTTTAAAAATCAATTCCATGCCTGTAATGTATGTGCCAGATGGATGTTGACAAGCCAGGGGTTTTGGAATTTTTTGTTTTTTTTTACTATGGATGTTGATGTATTAAAGTATTACTATGCTTCCTATTGGTGGGTCCTGGGGGAGTGTACCAAAAGTGTAGACCAGCAGTGCAAAAGTTACGACTGGCCTTGACGTTCCCTTGGTTGAAACATCCGAGTTCTTTTCAAAAGCAGCATGGCTGTCATCCAGGTCGGAGGTTAACGGAAAGTAAACTGTTGCAGATAAAACCACTTTGATAACAGGAAGTGTAGCTGAGGAACTGGCCAAATGTAATATAAGGCATTCCATATTGTCTCTATCTATTTACTGTATCTACCTATCATCTCTCTCTCTTTTCTATCTTCTATATCCTATCTAACAATTTATATCTGTCATCTACCTGTCTATCATTTAAGTCTCTCTCTCTCTCTCTCTCTCTCTCTCTCTCTCTGTGATCTGTCTGTCTTATCTATCTATCCTATCCATCTATATCCATCCTATTATCCATCCATCATTATCTATCTATCTATCATCTATCCCACCATCCATATCTATCTATCTATCTATCTATCTATCTATCTATCTATCTATCTATCTATCTATCTATCTATCTATCTATCCTACCATCCATCCATCATTATCTATCATCTATCTATCTATCTATCATCTATCTATCTATCTATCTATCTATCTATCTATCTATCTATCTATCTATCTATCTATCTANTGATTGGCCCAAAGTCACCCAGTCGACTCTCATGCCTAAGGCGGGACTGGAACTCACAGTCTCCTGGTGATTGGCCCAAAGTCACCCAACTGGCTTTCATGCCTAAGGCGGGACTAGAACTCACAGCCTCCTGGTGATTGGCCCAAAGTCACCCAGCCAACTTTCATGCCTAATATGTGATATGTAAAATAATCTCCCCCTCCTTTGTCCCCCCCCCTTTTGAAGCTGAGATGATTGACAAGCTGACCCTGCGATTCAACCGCACTCGCCAAGCTGTCATCACCAAGGAACTGATTGAGATCATCTCTGGTGCTGCGGCTCTGTAAGTATGGAGAGACAAATCCAGACGCTTGGCAACTGGCTCACATTTATGACGGCTGCGGTGTCCCAGGGGTCACACGATCCCTTTTGGCAACCTTCCGACAAGCAAAGTCCACGGGGAAGCCTGATTCGCTTAACAGCCGTGTGGCTAACTTAACAACTGCAACGATTCTCTTAACGACGACGGCAGGAAAGGTGGTAAAATGGGGCAAATCTCACTCAGTTAGCAACAAGGGCTCAATTGGGGTTGTAAGTTGAGGAGCACCTGTTTTCCGTTAATTTGGTGAGTTATTTAAAAGGTAGGTGAGGAACATTAAGGAAAACTGCTTAGGTTAATCTGATGTTGAAGGTGGCCTTTTATAAAACCCACTTTCTGGGCATAAAAGCCGTCATTCCACTCGCTGTTGTTTCCTAAAGCATTCAGCGAAATTCTGCCTCTGAATGAGATTTTCTTATAACGGCGGTTGCTAATCCCCTGCCAGGGTTCCAAATAGCATCCAAAATTAAATCAGAGTCCAAGGCAAAGTATTGCTCAAATTTCCAATTTATTAAAAGAGGCCATGTTGGCACATCTGGGAAAAGCCGAATCTGAAAGCTTCCCAGTTTTCCACCCAGTTTAAAGTTCAAGATCTTGCCCCCACACCCACAAGTCCATCCCATGGTCCAATCTCCCACTGCCATGCTGGCAGTTCCACCTCTCCAGTTCCGGTCAGGTGCAGAGACAAAGGATGACCTTGGCTTTCTAGAAAGGAATTTTGTTTTGGCTACATAGCATCTCACTCCGTACAATTCCCCCCCCCTCCCATTTCCCCACAATAGAAAAGGCCTAGTAGAATAATAGCCGAGGTGGCGCAGTGGTTAGGGTGCAGTACTGCAGGCCACTTCAGCTGACTGTTATCTGCAGTTCA